AGCTTCTTCACAAAGGTCTCATCAATTTTCTTCTCCGTGCTACAATCAACTTTTCATCAATTTGGTGAAGAACAGATCAAACAGAAGCAAGTTCCTATACTGCTGATTCGCACGAAACTACACCACAAATTAATCCCGACTAGAGCTCAAGTTTTTAAATTCTAGCTGGGTGCAGTATAGAGCAAGCATTTAAATTGTCAACCCGGGCCGGTCCATGTACCCCTACTTCAATCGCTTAGGTTGTTATCTAGGAAGCAACTTTTGGGTTTATAACTAATGGAACTACATACTAAACAAGCAAAGAAAAGTAAATAAAGGAAAATTCTAACTAAGGGAGCTTCACCCAGGAGTTGTTTCCCCCTAACTAGCTACCGTGACTCGCTGGATTGAAACGATTGTTATGGGCAAGGTAACCGCGAACCGCAGAGGGATGCAAATGTGGTCGTAGACCAAAATCTCGATTGCTAAACCGAGGTAGACATTATAGGTCGTGTCACTCGGCCCTCTCAGTTTACGCAATCGGTGGTGACTTACTCCCTCGCTCAACTCAAGGGTTGGACGGTTTAATCACGTTTAACCAATTTGCTTAATTCAACATTGAGGTTTTCCCTAAATTAACCTAGTTAGGTTACTTAAAAAGCTAAAGGAAAAACCAACTTGTCGTTAAAATACTAACTCAACACTGTGTCGGGTAATTTATTACCTTTTTGGGGTGGAACGAAGACACTACGACTCCTCCAAATTCGAATTGGTTCCTGGTCCTGGTCTGAGACCATTGTGTTCGCGCCGGCCTCCGCAAGTTGAGATGGGTCCATAACAGAATGATCAAAGACATCCTGAACTTCAGAATCATAGAACCTCTCATCATCTGAAGAAGTCGAGATCTCACTTGAGTCAAGTACGAAGGAAGCTTTAGCACTAGCCTTTCCTCTCTAACTAGGTTAAAGTCGCTAATTAGATTGCAAAGCACCAACATGCACAAACCTAAGGATGCTAAGCACAATTATGTACAATCCTTAGGTTGCTAAGCACCAAAATGCAAAAACCTAAAGATGCTAAGCACAAAACATGCACAACCCTTAGATTGCTAAGCACAAGCATGAACAATCAACATGAATAATATCTCAATCATTGAATTAAACAATACCCAATGACAATCATTCAATCTAAACAAGTAATTACAAAGTATTAGTTAGGGATCTACATCACCCAAGTAATTACAAAGCATGCACAATCAACATGAATAATATCTCAAGATCTTCTTCTTCTTCTAGGCTTGAATCTCCACCCAAGCCTCTAATGATGCTCCAAGATCTCCCCAGCACTCTCTCTCTCTCACACTAGAACTTCCCTTTGGTGTTTTTGGGCAACCCTAGAGAGAGAAACAAATTCTTCTCCAAAAACCAGCTCCCCTCTCTCTCCCCCGCTGTTGTCTTCATATTTGCCCGAGAGTAATCAGTTCACGGACGCGTTGGCCAGTTCACGACCGTGAACACCTAAACGCGTTCGTGAACTCAGTGTCGTCCAAAACGCGCCGATTCACTCTGTTGGTTTCACGGTCAATGGCCCTAGTTCATGGTCTTAGAGTCCGTGAACTGCCTTGTCATCAGTAACTTATGGAACCTCGTTGGACTGCTCGATGTTCACAATTTGTGGTCCTTGTTCACAATCTAAGGAGACCATGAACTGCCTAGTCCGACCATGAACTGCGGCTGTTTCCTGGACACTACGAAATTTTCTTCGGTTTTTGCGCTTTTTGACCTCCAATTATCCCAAAATTTGACCTCGACCCTTCCACACATGGTAGGACCTGAAATGTATCAAAACAAGCACAACCTAGCATGAAATATGTCGAGGACCGATGAAATGCTAAGCTAAACGAATAAGAAATGAGGGGTAAACTGTATACATTTGGGCTCGAATCAACTGCACTGATGGAACTCTAAAAAAAAAGAGGAAGTATGACACTAAGCAACTCACCAGCATACGCAACCCAATGAGGCCCCGCCTCGCTGTACCTCCACTACTAGAATTTGGTACCATACTTCTTATGGTTCACCGGGCAGTGAACATACGTGTGATCCGTATACACCATCCTCCAAAACATCGAAAACATACACCATATGTGGAAATATCTGTAATCTCACATCAAAGGGGAGAAAAAAATTTCCCCACACTTAGGATTCCACTAAGGTCCTATGCCTTTGAAGGCTTTTCACAAGACCGGATTTCAACAATTTAAGCCCAAGTGCAAACAAAGCTCATCGAGGCATGGTTCTAGGTGATTCACGGATTGTCAAAACACAATATCAAAACCATACCATGCCCCAATGGCCTCCAATCACCATTCACAAAAAATGAATTCAAACATGATGCACTTGGTGGGAAAATTCCACACTTAACTACAAACTATACCCATATCATGCCCACCAAGGCTCAATTAAGCTCATAGAATCCACATGCAACATTCATTCAACATAAATCGACTAACCCCTCGCCCACTTTCAACATTCATTCAATAAATTCGAGAATTCCCCTCACCTTCAACCTAATCCGATTCTCCAAGAATTGACAATCTAAAAGTTGAAAACAAACCTGCAGACTCAAGTAGGATTTAAGGGGGAAGTAAGGAGAGGGCGAGTGAGTCGAAAAATCCAAGAAAAACTGGCCGGAGGAGGGTGGCTGAAGCCTCGTCAGTAGCTCGCAAGAGGCTCCCCGGAAATTGCCTCACCGGAAAAATTTGAGTCAAACCTCCCCAAAACTTCGGCGAAGGTGCTCCCGGACGCGAGAAGACTGGGTATGTGGTTGGTTTTTTATTTGGTGGCCGAAGTCGTCAAAATCAACAAAGAATAGTTGGAAATCGCGGTTACCGGCGATGTTCTGCGGATTCCGGCGAGAGAGGTGACATGAAGTGAAGAAGAGGGGTTCATGCCCCATTTATAGGTCGATCCCGCAGTTCACAGACGGAGGACCCAGTCACGATCACTAATACCGTGAACTCGGGTAAAATGGTAAGTTTCAAAGACTGTTGGATTCGCCCTCATTCACGGTCTCTAGCCTTTTATCACGATCGCTAAGATCGTGAACTGAAAGCAGAAACCGTGAATTGAGTGAAAATAGAGCATTTCCAAAAAAATTGACTCGATCTACTCAACCGTCACCCTAATTCAATCACAACACAACCGAAGACACTCAAACACACAGACCTAGCACGGTGATACCCATTCCAATGCTTGAACTCTTCACGCAAACACAAAAAGAGAAAATAAAGAAAAGAAAATAAATTGTCGTTGGGTTGCCTCCCAACAAACGCTAGTTTAACGTTACTAGCTCGACGTTGTGGATCTATCATGCTTGAGAGCACAAAGCTACCGAGAGTGGATCTGCTACGGTCTCGAGGCAAGGTTTCTCACCTCCCCACTTAAACTCCATAGGGTAGCCTTCTTGTCCCGAAACTTTTGCCTTAACCTAATCTTCTGGCCAGGATAAGCACGGTTCATGCTCATGCCCCACTCTATTCTACCGAGTGCTCATGTTCCGGGTCAAGTAAGTCTGAGAGGGATTGTCGCCCTCCATACACTGGGCAGGCCATGAGAGACCTTTCATATTAGGTCAGTGGTGGTGACCTCTTTCTCTCGCATATTGAGGTGCAAGAGGGTCTACATCATGCATATGGGGCCCATCATCACGAGGTTGGCTCGCTTCTTACTAGTAGACACCACCATCTGTACTAGGTGGGGAAGTCCGAGATTTTTCTAGAGGATACCCTCTCACATATGGGACTCATCCAGTCCCAAAGGGGAGGTCATTTCATTGTCAGATTGTGACATGTTGCTCTGATGAGACTAGCAGCACCAGAGGCTGAGTCGGCCGAGGCTGCCCACAGAGCTGCACCCCAGCATCGTCAGGCCCATGTTGGCCCTTCTTCATCAACTTCAGGAGCTCGCCCTTCATCTTCAGCCTCTGTTGAGGCTCGACTCACCACTAGGGGGGCCAGTACAAGGGGATCACCCTTGTGAGCTTGTTTTTTGTGTATGTGTAATGAATTTGAACTAATTTATTTCTTTTCTTTTCTTTTAGACTATGAATAATGTGTGTTGAATGACATCACCCTTGTGAGCTTGTTTTTTTTGTATGTGTACTTTTTTTTTTGTGATAGCTCCTCTTTTCCCGAAAATGATCCACTCTCCAGTGCGATTCTTCACTAGCCATGTTAAATAACTTTGTTCTACTCTTATCTTTCCTCCATTGAGGACAATGGCGTGCTTAATTTTGGTAGGGTGTTGAATGTGTATGTGAATGACGTGTGAACGTGAATGATGGCATATCTATTGAATACTTTGTAGCCTTGTTATTGCCCAAATTTCAACAATTTGAGACCTTCGAACACTTATGGATGAATGAATGTTGATGGCCTATATTGTGAGTGTTTTGAAACCTAAATTTTATACCTAAATTTTGAAATTTAAGGGTACCTAACACCTTGTTCCAAACAAAATTGGTTGCTGGAAACAGACATCTACCATTGTGCATCTCGATGTGAACAATTCCAGTAAACAACAGCAAGGTTGTCAACCCGCGGGTCGACCCACTTTGAACCTAGCTCGGTGAGAAAAACGGACCGCACGCACCCGCCGGGTCGACCTCTAAAATACCGGGTTGGAGGTCAAATTGTGTCTTTTTTTTTTTTTTTGGTTTGCGAAATGTTTCTATTTTCCGATTTTTCTTTTCGCCTAACTCAATCTTTGGAATTCTAAGTTGAACATTTGAATATTGATGTTATATAAGTGTGTGTGAATTTTCACTATATGTTGGATCTAATTACGAACCTGGGTTGAGGTAAAAGTTCGTCAACTAATAGATTTTTCAATGTAAATCATCCAATCTCTCCTATGGATTGAATCTTGCGTCTGGCTTTCCCCACTCTGATGTTCATAATTGTCAACGCGCAGACTGATTCGGACCAGGTCGAGTTAGTGGGTCAAGGGTTAATAGATCACCCGTTTTAGTCAAGTTTATCCCGGAAATATAGAAAGAGTAATTATATTTTACTTACTAAATTATATCAAATGAGTTATAAGAATATGTAAACAAAAATTCGGTTGCCAAACCATGCAAGGGGAGAAATAAGAGGTGGTTCACGGTACGCTTGCAGTTGCTCTTCCCTAACCTCTCCAAAGAGAAATATTGAAAAACATACATGGTCAAGTCCTTCGCTTGTCAAAGCTTTGTGTATTGACTTTCTATTGATAGGTGTGCGTTGTGCACGAATCACAAACTCTTCTGCAAGACCTACAACTACAAGATTCCACCTTTCAGCTTTCATAGTGAGTTAAGCATCCTCCTTCGGTAAAATTACACTGGGCACCCAAACGTCTAAACATTTCAAACACTAGACTGCAGCTGGTTTAGAAGCACCTCTGAGTCTTCAGCGTCTTCATCTCCTTCATAGCCGTTCCCATCACTGCTGGACAAACCGATAAGAGAGGCATAATTTTTATCAACAAGGAATCCCAACTGCCTGAATAAACTTTCGAGTACCTCCTTACTGGCCAAGTCCCCTTCCTCCTCACAAACCTTAAAGAAGGAAGAAACAATTGCAGGCTTTGGCTTCCACCTCTTTGATGGGTCGAAATCAAGAGCTTCCTTCAAGCAAGTCAAAGCTTCAGCAACTCTCTTCTCCCTCACATGACCTTCAGCAAGAATTTCCCAACTACTGGAGTTAGGCTTTGCTCTTGCTTCGGTTATATCGTGAAACAGACTCTCGGCTCTGTCAAAGTTTCCATCTTTAACGTAAGAAGCCATAAGCAGATTTGCAATTCTGGGGTCATAAGATGTCTTGATTTGCATCCATTCATCATACATGTCCTCTGCAGCTTCAATGTCGCCCAACCGGACCAGCGACGAGATCACAGCATGGTATCCCAGATTAGGGATATTGGGGAAATTCGATTTGTAAGTGTTCCAAACACGGATAACTTCTGCTTTCTTACCGACATTACCGTACAAACTCAAGAGATACTGGTAAGGCATCCTATCACGCTCAGTGATCCTTTCCTCGACCTTCTTCAAGCAATCTTCAGCTTTCTCCTTGAGTCCCATCTTTAGGTACATTGTCGCCATCGTGCTGTAGGTAGTCCAGTTAGCAGTAACATACTGATCCAGTTTCATTTGCTCAAACGCCTGCTCCATCTTCTCTATAGCACCTTCGGAACCACGAGAGGACAACCATATGTTGTAGGAATATATATCCAGCTGGATGTTTTTCTCTTTCATTTCGAAGATCAATTTGTCGACCTTATCATACTCCTTCAGATTCATGTACAGGGTCATCATCACATTGAAAGGAAGTGCATGGCCTGCATAGTTTTTTACTCTCATTTTGTCAAACAGTGTTTCGGCCTTTTCCTTCTCTTTATGCTTAACGTAAGCATTGAGCAGAGCTCCATAGATCCTTCTATCCTTCAAAGTATCAGAAACACCCTGGAAGTATTCTTCGGCAGCAGAAACTCCATGAACTTTGGCTATAAGGTCCACCTGAATTGCAGCGTCACTAGCAGATAGCCTAAATTTCTCTCCTTTGCTAACCATCCAATCATAAACCTGACCCATCCATTTCAGAAGGTTCAATTATTCAGAAACGCACTCACGCGAGCATGCAACAGAACCCCATAAAATCAATCAAAGTAGGAAATTTTAGCAATGGGGTAGATGTTTGTTTATTTATTTACCTCAAGGGCCTGCTTGAATCGTTTGTACTTCCGCAATTCCTTGACGACCCTGCAGAGCTCCCATTTGGTGAGCTTCTTCCCTTCTTTATCGCACAGCGCCAACACGGTACCGGCGCCCAAATCAGGGTTCTCCATTAACGAAATGCTTCTGTAGACGCCGTTCCAGTTGATTAGAGGTCTCCTCTTGAAATCAACAGTTCCACTGCTGTTAACTTCTGAGATGGAGCAAGTGATTGGAAGTGTGCGATGAACGAGAGACCGGCGAGGGGTGAAGTTGGATGTTCTCCATGGGAAGGAGCTAGAGTAGGAGATAGAAATCTTGGGTTGATACAGAGACGGCTGGAGAAGCATTGTTTTTACCGGAAAAAGGTCTTCTGGGGGGAGAAATGAGCCGCTCGGCGGAGAGTGAGATTGCAGTAGAGCCTAGGAGGATTGTGTTTCTGGGTTCTACGATGCCTTCGCTGGGCTTTGCTCTTCCTGTTGTGAAGATAGAGTGGAGCGTAATTACTGTGTTCTCCCTGTTTCTGAAGATAAAACGATATTATATATTAGTAGGGGTGGAAAACGGTGTGGTCCGGTCCAGACCTGATCATAAATACGGTCTGTGGTCTAGAGCGAAAGGTTGGAACACAGACCATATACTATACGGTCCAGACCAGATCATATATGTGCGGTGCGGTCCGGTACGGTTTGGACCAGACAAACCATGTTAAAAAAAATAATTCTTGTTCGCCCTCCAACCCTTCTCCGGTATCTATAAAAAAAATCTAGTGACCAATATGCTAGTGAAACAAAAAATTTGTGATTGTGATTAAATGATAAGAAATATGAGGATAGAAGTGGGTTTTTTCAATTTTCAAATAGCCTTGTTTCCCTATTCCTCTTTGTGCTACCGCTTCTCCTCTCTCGAGTGATACGAAGGTTCTCCCAGTCGATAACCTTTTTGATGACGTCGAGGTAATTTTGAACCACTAAGATGGTCGCATATCTCTCAATAATTTTCCTTATCTCATCAAGATGAATGAATTTTTTTGCAGTGTTTAATTTTTATCGACTCCATAGTCTAGACATTGTCTGTGAATATTATTTATGAGTCTTTCTTATTTTTGTGTGGTTCTTTGATAAGGAGATAAGGTATAAGCGATCATTTGGCAATTTGTTGGCTCTCAACTAGATGAAGAATCAACTAACTTTGTTCTTCAAATACACATATGGAGGTTCAATTTAGTGTTATTTTTGTCCGAGGTAGTAGGTAGTGTGTCGCGGTCTATTACGGTTTACTGCGGTAGACCGCGGTCCAGACCACGCACTAAAGAAGGAGACCGCAAACCAGACCAGGCCATAGTTATGGTCTAACGATCCAGACCAAACCATACGATACGGTTTAGACCGCGGTTTCCCATACGGTTTGGTCTGGATTCCCAGCCCTATATATTAGGGCTCGTTTGCTTCATGGATTTGAAAAATGAAAATTTTGGTTAAAACTTGGGTTTTACAAAACCATGTATATATGATGAAATTGTCTCATTTGATTTTTGGTACAAACCATCGTTTGATTGTTGGATTTCATGATGGATTTGGCATTATTATATTTGTGCTTGTATTAGGAGTTTACCTTACTGCGTGGCCTTATTGAGTATTATTTATATTTACATTATAATTTTTGTTTAAAACAAGTTTCATCCAATAGGTTCGTCTCACTACCACAATCGGAATAAATGAACATCATTAATCAATAACAACATCATATTATACACACAATTAAACAATCATGTAGTTTTTTCGTGCAGTGAATAATAATAATTAGGGTTAGGTATAGGGGCACATTATACCTATAACCCTAATAAATATTGAATGCAAAAGTAATATGCACTTCAAGTTGATAATTAGTAAATCAAAGAGGATGAGTGGGTGATTAGTGAAATAAGTTGGGTTAAAATTGTAAAAAGTCATCATGGACTTTGTACCCCAACACAAATCCCACCTCTTGGGGTGGAATTCTCAAGTCCATGGGGTCCACGGATTTGGACCCTCAAAGTCCGTGGGCCCCACGGATTTATTCCTCCTAAATCCATCAAGCAAACGACGGATTGTGTACAAAGTCCATGATGTTTGGTTTTTAAGTACCAAATCCATGATCAATTCCATGAAGCAAACGAGGCCTTAGATTACGATTTAGGGTGCCAAATGAGCGAGATTGTCAACCCGATTTTAGAGTTCGATAAGTGAAAATGAGTTAGGGTTACCAATCGAGTCGGTTTATCTGGATATGTGAAAAAATGCATATATAGTAGTGTTGTTAAAGTCGAGTCGGACTGATCCGTCGGACTAGTAAAATCGACACCCTACCATCAGTCTTGTACGGGTAACTTTAAAAAAACGCAACGGTCGAAAAAATCGATCGGCAAGCGATCGAAACGGTTAGCCGTTCGAACCGCACGAACTATCCAACCTGTTATGGACTCCTGATTTGTCTCACAAAAAGGGAAAAAATATCTAGACGGGAAAAATCGACATGCAATTGACCCTAGATTCTTTGCGATGAAATGGACTAAGTGACGGAAGATCAATGCATCGACGCAGCAACGCGGCGAGAGAATGAAAGAAGCTACCGCCTTGCTACAACCAACGACGAAGGAGAAGAAGAAACAGTGTGTCATACGTTTACGATCCTGTAGGAAGGTTTATGCGATGAGGAGGACGACAAAAACCGACAGCGTATGGGCAGATGGTCAGCGAAACTCAAAGTAGCTGCAAGACAGTAGAAGAATATGATTTGGATCCTAAGAGAGACGAAGAAAGGGAATAGAAAATAAAAGGATTAGAGAGATGGGTAGCGGCTAGAATGGCGTGGTGGTAGGTTTTGATTTTTAGTGGCTATATATATCAAGTAAAACTACTAAATGATACTTGATAAATTTTATTTTTGTCATTAAATTGTTAAATTACTACCTTACATATCTTCTACTTGTGATATTATTGTTTATAAAGTAATAGTTCTCTAACGGGTTTCAACGGTTTAATATCGGTTGGACCACTAAAGTGTTAGTCATTCACATTACCGGGTCATGCTCTGGTTCGGTTTTGACAACATTGATATATAGAAATTATTTCAAATCTCAAAAGAAATCCTAGAATGGGGCTCGATTGGGACAAAAGAAATCTCACACCCAGGCTCTACCCAAATCACCAAAGACCCATCTACAAGTTCATCTAGGGTGATCCCAAATGAACAATGACGAACACTGTAGCCTCCCCAATACTCGGCCCAAGCAACACCAGGATTCAAATGATTTTGGTGCCTCCATTCGCAATCCAGGCGAAGGAAAAAACAAAACCCAATTCTTGAAAACTCCTCAATTAGCCAACATAACCAGAAAAAGAACACCAGCTAGTCGCCATCATAGAGATGAAGAAGGGGTTGAAACTCAAAGGTGTAAAAAAACCAATTCAAGTTGGCTCCTCTATTAAGCATGAAATGACTTGCAAAGTTAAAGATCAGTCTGTCTCGGTTACTACCATAGCTAATCAAGATTTCCTTTCTCATTCTCAATAGAAAGCTGACGAATTCCTAAAATTAGAATGGACAACAGCAAGGACGAGATGATGATGGTGGTGGAAACGATGGTTAAACCAAACCCTCCGGGATCGATAACTGATAACACGATATTTGCACATGCTTTTTCTATCATTCTTAGACCGTTTGAGGATTGATATTTTGCATTTCAAACTAATTTTACGCTAGGTTGTGCCTTTGCGTTGTATTTCATGATCTGGATGGGAAATGAAGGCTCAGGAGCGAGTTTCATGTCGAAATGGAGAGACAAGACTTGGGAGTTGGAGAGTTAAAATCCTTAGTTAGACCACCAATTCCCCGACATGGATCATCATATGTGGATCGAGGATGAGGAACAGAGTAGTCCCGGTTAGGAAGAGCCTATTCCCTAATCGGGATCAAGAGGAGCTGACCAAGGATCTTCTTCAGTGAGACGGCGCATTCAAGAATTCTCTTATCATGGCTTGACATTCCTCTATCAGGAAAAGGGATCTCATGGCCAGGGAACAGGCCAGCAGCGAGTATAAAACTCTATTTTGTGCATTTTTTGGAGCGGAGAGCAGGGTTTTTTTGTTCCTAAACACGAAAGGGACGAACCCTGGAGAGAGATCGATTTGAGGGTGATCTTGGAGAGGAACTGGAGGATTTATTTTCCTTGGAATCTCCAGGAACAAGCCAAGACATGAAGATTGAAGATTTGAAAAGTTATATTGTATTATGTCTCTTATCTATGGAGTAACTTCCCTTCACTTAGGTTTCAAGGAACCCTTGATTTGTAGGCTAGGAAGAGTTGTAGGAACTCGAATTCATGATTGATTGAAATTTTATATTCAGTTGAGGTTTTATTCGGAATTGCTTAAATTATGATCACATTCCTGCAGGTTCAGCTTTGACCTACAACGATATTATCTGCATAAATTAATAGAGCCACCTGAATTGGAAATAGTGAGTTGATTGTATGAGAGTTGATAGGGCAAAAGCGTAATGCCAATTCCTATCTTGTAGTAAAACCGGAAATCCGGGTATCGTCTCTCAGGGACTGGTACAACCTTAAGTTCTATCAATTTTATGAGCAAACTATAAGTGAAAATAGTTTAATGAGACTAATTTCTAAAAGCAAAATAAAATAAACAAAGTAACTAAATGAAAACTGTTCGGGAGAAATTTAATGAAGAAAGCTCTGGGAGAAACACCGGGATTCACTACCTATCCTATCCAGATTAATTCACATATTCCAATCAATTTAATCCATATCTCTACAGCCAGGATATCACTACTGTGCTAGCTATCCCTGTCGGGAATTACTACGTACTAAACAATTAATTCAAATCCTACCGTCGTAGCTCAATGACTTAATTATTTAGCTTGAAGATCGATATCCTATTTAAGACCGCATAGCACCTTATTTAATCCACTGTCGCTTCGATAAGTTACTATGTCACATGAAACAGGTTCAGTTATTAAGGTTTCACTGTCGCTAATAACCTAATTAACTACGATTCATTGTATTGGTGGCCAGTCAACACAAAGCATTACGTAATTTCATGCAATAGAGATTGGAGGAAAAGAAATACGAATCAATCCATTAAATCAAGAAATAGCTACATCCTATGGTGTTTCCCCCAGAAATCAGGGTTTAGTTCATGACGAAATTGAGATAAAACATTAGGGTTTTGTTCATCATGTTCTAAATCAACAATACACAACTAGTTCGGTTCAGAGAATCCAACCAACTAATCGCTCTCGTTGAACTCAGCTCAAGCCGCCTGGAAAACTGATCGCCAATTGCCGATCTGCTCCTGCTGCGCACTGCTGCTTTTCTCCAAGAATAATTCGCCTCCAATTAATTTCGTTCCCAAAACAAAACAAACGTCTCCTTCTCTCTTCTTCAAGAAAAACCAGCCGCCCTTTTTAATTGCCCCGCTCCTCTGTCCACAAAGAATTCTCGCATGGCCCAAAA